CGGTGTTTATATTGTTGTTTTGTTTTTACATTGACTAAATCTTAAGTCTTTAAAAATTATGAAGTTCAATAAATCCTATGACTTAATTCATCTACAGCTTGCTGAACAACAGGCATTCTCTGACAGATAGTCTCTCCCACTATGAAATATATCAGCATACCGTATATTGGCACCCCACGGTTTTGTAGTATATCACACTTCCCAATACACAGCTCCCAATATACAGCTCGTTTACTTCCAATAAAGTGACAGTATCATCTGTGCGTATATAGTTTAACATCCATATCTCAGTTTTATACTTTACGGGTATTGAAGATGATTTGTTTACTATTTAAGACTAAATAATCTATGTTTCAACGATTGACTTATTCGCAATCTTTTGTAATATTTTTTATGGTGCACCAATAACGCAAATGACGACAATTGATTTGATACTTCCAGAAATGACCATGAACTGTCAAGTAAACTGCCTGGTAAAACATTGATTTCATGTGAATATTATCTGCATTGCTAATTATAAATCGACTACTTTATGAAATCAAGAATTGAGTTTTGCAAACATAAAGAAAGACAAAACTGACCTATTGTTATCCGTCATTTCAAACAAATTCCTCTGTTAGCAATGTCCTGAAAAAAATATAATGTAAAGACGATATTGCATTATTCGCCATAAAAGATCAATGATAATGTTTTAGATACATGCAAAAATAAAATGATAATAATAATATTGAGTTCACATTCATAACATCATTCGAAACCGGGTTCCAAGTAATCCTAGGACGAAAGTAAGCCGATTTCGTAAATCGCTCGGTCGATTTTCTGTAGTATGGAGAAGAAACTTCATAGGAAATCACCTTGGGTTTATTATGTAATAGCAATTTTCCTAAAATTCTCATCAAGATATCTTTGAATTGTTTGTTTGGAATTTTTTTTTAAAACCCCCGAAAAAATAACCCCAAAAAAAACGGGGCTAATTCCCGGGATTTTACCTGTTTTCCCGGCACCCGTGGATAGTAATTAGTCTATTTTTTAAAATATTTAGTTTATAGTAAAAAAAATGATCCTTTTTTTCTCAAAAAATTCCTTCGGTATTTCAATGATTTTTATTTGGGACAATAAAATAACCCGAAAAATAAACTAAATTTCAGGTGTTCGCCCATCCTTCCCCCCATACGGCCCCAAAAATGACAGAAATTCGCCCATCTTTAGGGCTCTTGGGTTTTTTAATTTAAAAGCAATTTAAATTTTCAAAAAAAAAATATCGTTGAAAATTTTTTAATCTTATAAAAACATGCAAAAAAAAAATTCAAAAAAAACACAAAACCCCAAAATTTTAAAAGGCCGTTCCGGGAATCTATCGGGCCCCTTTTCCCACAGGTTTCCCGTTTTTCCGATCTTCAAATTAAAAATTTTTATTATTTAAAAACAGCAAAATTTTTCATAAAACTTTTTGCTTCTTATTTTTTAATTTCCGATTTTAATAAAAAATTTATAAAAAAACTTTTAAAATTTTTGTATTTAATAAAAAATTTTGGGTTTTTTTTTTTAAAGTTTTAAAAATTTGGGGGGGGAAAAAAGACCATTCCCGGGGAATTGGTCCGTAACCCCGGGACTGGGATATAAATTTGCCCCTTTTTTGGCAAAATTTGCCGACCCCTAGTCTTTTAGCTTATTATTAATTTAAAAATTCCCTTTTTCCCCGAAAAACTTTTTAAGGGGTTAAACATTTTTTTTAGTTTTTTTTTTGTTTTTATTTTTTCTCCTTGTCAAAAGTCCATAAATTACTACAATAAAAAAACAGGGATCCCCCGGTAATCATCGATTCCGGCTATTTCCCGGCTGTTGACGAGTATATGTAACTTCTGCCGATCTTCCGTCTTCTTCTTGCCTTACTAGCCATTATCCCTTTCTGTTTTATCTTTTTTTTTTTTTTTTTTTCTTTTTTTTTTTTTTTTTTTTTTTTTTTTTTTTTTTTTTTTTTTTTTTTTTTTTTTTTTTTTTTTTTTTTTTTTTTTTTTCTTTGTTTTTTACCAAAGCGAATAGAAAATTTCACAAAATAAAAGAATGAAAGGAAATTTTAAATAGTCATTCATAATACATTTATTATTTATATAAAACGAATATTACAACATGCAACAGAAACGTTAAAAAATGTACAAAATAGACTAATCTATACTCGATTCCCGGTAAATCCTTCGGTCGAGATTCCGCCAGTATGGCAGTATTGCCGAATTAAATATCCCTTGTTTAATTAATAAAAAATGATTTTACTTGACAATAATCTGCATTTACATATTATTGCTTATTGCTTTATTTAATATCAAGGGTGCAAATTCATTTTGTTTACAAGTATAAAGATAAGCAAAATTTCAGGGGGCCCATTTTCCCGGAATCCCTTTTCCGATTTCCGGGAGTTTTTCCCGGGTTTTTTGCTGTCCAAAGAAAAATTTGTTTATTAAATTTTTTTAAAAGCGATTTTTCCAATCCCCTAGGAAATTTAAAATAATATTTTGGGTTTTTTTTTAAAAAATGCCCCAAAAGGGAAAACCTTAAAAGTTGATAAACAACAAAATAAACCCGACCAAATTCCGGTCAAAGGGCCCGTTTGGCAGGGGAGCCCCGCCCCCATATTAGATCCCCTTGGGTTTTTAAAATTAAATTTAAAAAAACATTTTTAAATTTTTAAAAAAAACCCTTTTAAAAAAATTTAATTTATATTTTTATTTTTATAAAAATTTCAAGGAAAAAATTTAAAAAAATTTTAAAAAAAAAAATTTCAAAAGTTCCCGGGCGATTCGGGGGAAAAAACCGCCGATTTCCCGGGCGATTTTCCGGTTTAAATTTGGCCCATTCCGGGTAAATTTGTGTAACCCCTTTTTTAAAATTTTTCCCGAAAGTTTTTTTTCCTAATATTCTAAAGTTTTCTAATTAAATTTATGTTTTAACATTTTTTTTTAGAATGAAAACCCCTTTTTATTAAATCCAAAAGTATTATTTTTTCAAAAAAATATTTTTCTAATACTTTTGTTACGCTTTAAAATCTAGATGATTACACAGTTGTAAAAGCCCAAGTTCTATTCATAGTATCAAAGTAATAGAAATGTTGGGTGTAAAATCAATTGCAAACCAGCTTGTTCTCTCACAGAGACAAAGTGAATGTATTGAACTGTATTTCCATCTATAAACAAGCAAATTGAACATTTTGTATAAATTGTTCTGGAAAATATTTATAACAGGCAAATTGTATGATTAGTTTGTAGGGTCTAATATAATGAAATACAAGTGACTTCCAAGCATTTAGAATTGGCAGTCACAGTGTCCCTAATTTTTTTTTGCAAGATTTTGTTTAGACCTTAAATAACTATAATGTTCAGGGATATTTATGGGGACATCATCTAGGTGTTTTATTATTGTATTTTTTCATGCCTCGAAATTTGCTATATATTGCTGGTAGGCCAAACTCCATGCCTTATATATTGCTGTAAAATTCAATTGTTTATAATATTTGCATAATTGTTCAGAAAATTCTGTAAAATTCAGTTAAATTCCTCACTGTCAGGTCCAACTCTATATATGCCCTATAATTTTATTGCAATTAATAATTGCAATAAAAGATTAAGAATTAATTATTGGATTTTTAATTTGATAGATTCCCCAAAATTGATAAGTTCCATGAAAATGAAAACTGAACAAGTCCTTCTAGACGGACCCCTTCTAGAAATTTTACAGGCTAAAAGTTAATTTCTCTGTCAATTTTGTTCCACTCCAACCTCACTGCTACATGTTTAGAAATTCATAATAATGATTGCTGTGAAATTTAACTCCATGCTTTATTTTGCTGTAAAATCTAATTTGATTATTTTTTCATAGTTTTTATGCACCCACTATGATAATGGCTTAACCCTGACAGCTAGAATGCACACAAACCTTGTCTTACTCATAACTCTGTCATGCATCAAGGGATTTTGAAACAATTTGGCACAAATGTTAAGCATGATGTGATGGTTTGTTATGCACAAGACCTTAACAATAGACCTTTACCACTAGCTCCAAGGTCAAGGTCACATGTGGAGGTCAAAGGTATTACAGTCAGCTCTTGTTTTTATAATGCCAAATTCCTAAGTGTTGAATGATACTTTAGGTCAAAATTAATTCAATGTAGCCTACAAGGAATAATGGGAGTTGATAATAAATGTTGAAGAAGATACTGGTGGTTATGGTTACAGGAGTAAATAAATGTCGTGAAATCCATATTTGGCAACAATTTTGGAAAATATTTCATCAGAAATTTGCTGGATAATTACCATGAAGAATATAACATTGTCTGACTAGAAATATTGAATGCTTTGATAAAATGATAACCATAGCTGTCTTGGGAAACACATCTCGGATCTTATAGATCTTATGATATAAAGCTTGTATTGTTAAAAACATCTCTTTTCTTACCATCCTAGAAAAGTGTTTTTTTATGAGGTAATTTGCTTAAGCTTACAAAATGGGTTTATTGGTGAATTATTCAGTCAGTCTGACCCAATTTCTAGCATGACCTGATAAGCACTTTTATAAACAAATTAGAAATCAGTCCTTCAAATTTCAATTTGATAAATTCCACAAAATTGATAAGAGTCTTAAGAGACCATTCCATGAAAATGAAAACTGAACAAGTCCTTTTAAGAAATTCGACAGGTTAAAAGTTAATTTCTCTATCAATTTTTTTCCACTGAATATAATGTTGGCACTTTACTTTTATTATTTACTGTTCTAGTGTTTCATAAATGGAAGACATTAATGTCAATGAACTAGTCAACTACGCCTAAAAAATTTAAGTGCAAGCCTTGTAGAATTTACTAAATTTAAAATTGCACCATTTTCATAGTTAAATGTTGAATGCTGCTTAAACACTCACTCCTATGCTAGGGCACAAGTACAATTGTTGCCATCCACAGACTGTGTCAAACGTAGCCACCACCTTTGAGGTTCTTATTTCAACCACATTTTGTATTCAATCTTCTTTTTTTACAGTTGGATAATGCTGATGAGCAAGCTGCTCAGGTTCGACGGGAGCTTGATAGCCGACTACAGATGGTGGAAACCATGTGCAAGGTAGGTTACTCTCGTTGCATGCCACACTTAGACTTAGCATCATCTCCCCTTAGTGATGGCTTTAAATAGAGTAATGTAAAGTTATCTACAGGCAAATTATTGTGACTTCATGCTTATGTGGTCTCCCTATTTTAATCTTCAAAAACTTGCATGTACATTTTGTATGTAAATGTTCAAGTCCTCTGCTTATTCCAATTTTGATTTGTAGATCTATATTTTCTGAAACTACAATTTGGGTAAAAAAAGCCTTTTATTTTTCGTCTGTTATATAATGATCATTTCTATGCTTACTGTGACTCAATTTTCATCTTCATTTTCTCAAAGGTTTGGTTTGCAAACAAACTGAACTTTTCTTTTTGACGAAAAAAAGTTCAGTAGTGAAATAACAAAGAATTCAATGAGTTTGTTTTTTTTTAAGAGTATCTTCTTCTCAGGAACTTGTGTTTGACTTGAGTGGATTTAGCTGGGCAATAATTTGTTTTCAGTAAAATCCATAGGCCGAATACAGAACAAGATCAAATTGTTCTTACAAATTACAATGACCTTCATAATATATACCTTCTCATGTATAAGTATTAACTTTTTTCGTAATGTCATTCTGTTAGCAACATCATACCTCAGATCACCATGTTATAATATAATACAATACAATTTTCTTTATTGCTCAGGTCATGTAGGCCAAGGTCATATAAGCTCAGGTTATATAGGCTCAGGTAATATAGACTCAGGTTATATACAGTTCAGGTCATATAGACTCAGGTTATATTAAGGTTCAGATTATACTATATTATATAGGTTTAGATTATATAGGCTCAGGTAGTATAGACTTAGATTATACAGACTCAGGTTATGTCGGCTCAGGTTATATAGGCTCAGATAATGTAGGCTCAGGTTATATAGGCTCAGATAATATAGGCTCAGGTTATATAGGCTCAGGTTTTATAGGCTCAGGTTATATAGACTTAGGTTATATAGACTCAGGTTATATAAGCTCAAGGTTATATAGGCTCAGATATGTAGGCTCAGGTTATATAGGAGCATGTAATACACGCAGTCAATATACCAAAATATGTATCATAGATAGATAAAGTATGTATATTTTATTAAAAAAGATTCAGTAGAGACAATGTATCGTGACCTGATATTTAAAGAAACACATTTATCATAATCAATAGCAATTCTTTTGTAACTTTAAAATGACATAAACAGTTAAAGAAGAAAAATTATCTTCCATGTCCCCTGACAATTGAAAACTCAGATGTGTGTGTTTTTCTCAGCCCATCATGATAAAACATCTTTATCACATTTCTCCATGGAGTTGTGAATACAAAACATCCTGTCATTGATAGTAAGTAATGTTTAACGACTGGCTAAGAATTAAACTCTTTGTTCTTTGATGTTAAATTTCATTACGCTGTACAAATTGATCGTTTTACTATAAACAGCTTCCTTATTAATAATTAAAACATTTTTATTTGTATTTTCAACAGGACAGATGGTGTGACAAATGATAATTTGAAAAAAAACTAAATAGCATTGGTCAATACATTTTTGATAAAAAAAAAAATAGCCTTGAATATTTTGTTTGAATATTTTGTTTGAATATTTTGTTTGAAAAATTGCCATTACTTTAATTCCTATAATATGTACATGTTTATTATGGAAACATTAGGATTCCAATGAACTTACTATTGGGTTTACATGCAGTGGTCATTGGAAGGTTGTTTGTCATCATTGATTTACACTATAATTGGGCGACATGTCACTGTACTGAATATTCTCAGATAAATCAATGTCCCCCCCCCCCCTCACTCACACTCTCCTACTGCTGCAGTATAAATTATGCTTTAGATTTATTCTACAACTTTTATTGAAAAAAAAATCAATAAGAAACTTTTTTTTTTTTTTTTCCTTCTCCTATTTACTTACAGTTACAGGCAAGAAAAATTTTAATATTGCTATAAAGTTATTGAAATTGGGTCAGTACATTAAAGGTCATGGTGATCTTTGCAATAGCGAGGGTAATTGTTGTTAATTTATATATGAAGATAAATAAAGAACACATGATTCAAACTTCAAAGCAATATATTGCCCTATATAATGAGTGATAGCCATGTTGAGCAGCACTCCTTTATATTACAGGTCATGTTTTTAAAGTGCATAAATTATGTAATTCTAAAGTCCAGGTTTTTTGACAGAACATCGGCAATATCAGGGCATCATTCTGTGACTAAGTGGTTGAAGTGTATAAAACTTATATCTGATGAAATATTTTTTTATAGAGATTTAAAAAATAGTAAAATTATGTAGTTTTCATAACCTAATGGTTAAATTGACTTTCTTTCATTCTAGGTTACGTAGGTACATTGAAATCATTATCACAATGTAAATAATAATTTTATAATCCAAAGACAGAAAAAATATTTAGCTTTATACACTTTAATGATGTTGACTTCAAATGACTGGCCCATCACTGCTTTGCCTGTGTGGGTTTGAATTCTACCAGAAACTTTTAATGTTTTCATGATGGGAAGCTATCCAGCTGGCTATATAAGGGAAGGTTGGTGATTCTACTTAAGTGCGTGCTCTTTGGTTGCCCATTCTTTTCTGAAATAATGAAAGGCTTTCCTAGAAAAAATGAACAGAGGGTCACCTGAAGTCTTTCTCCACCAGTAAAGCTGATAAGATTTCTTATGACCGTTACAATTAATACATACAGGTATAAGTTGTAATAATGGTTAAACAGAAAACAATAATGCTTGCTAAAAGTGCTTGTTGTCTCACCAAATGTGAAACTTTAAATTTGTATCAATATAAAAGCTGCAGCTGTTACACTTAAACTCTTCATGATAGTGACGATGATGATAATAACTTTAATGCACCAGTACTATATATCAAGGGGCGTCTGATTATTCAAACCACTTACCGCTCACCTCTGTGGGTTCAAATCTCGATAGGAACTTTGGATTCTCTCTTGTTAAGAAGCTATCCTGCTAGCTTATGTAACGTCGATGGTTCTACTCAGGTACCCTTTCCTGCCTGAAATAATGCACAGAGCACAGAAGGGCACCTGAGATCTTCCTTCACCAGTAAACCTGGAATGTTGCCATAATTATGACCTATACTGTGCCAGTGAGATGTAAAACCCAATCAAACAAACAAATTATATATCAAGAGCAAAGTGAGTCTTGCACTGGGTGCAATCTATTCAGACTTTTAACTAACAGCACTATCGCATTCCCAATTCTTTTAAATGAGTCAGGACATAAAAGAAAGTTTAGTGACATTCCCATGTTAAGATAATGCTTTAATAGATTTCCCTTTTTTTTTTAAAAAATCCATGTCACATTCATGAATCTTCTAATGCATGTATACTTCTAATCACCATAAAACCTGGCATTGTTTTATGTTTTTATTTTGCAGAAAATGCGCCTAGAGCAACTAATGAACGTTCCAGATCATGTGATTATTGCTTATTAATGCTTGTTCTTTTCACTGCAATATGTTATAAGATATATATCTATGCATTATATATATGTATTCATTTTAGCAAATTTTAAAATTTATTTTATCTCACGTGTTTGCATTATTATATTCAGATTAATGTCCTTTAAGTTGGTGGTTTTTAGTGATATACTAATCAAGGGGCAGGACGTGAAGTGGTTGCACACTTGGTTCAAGCGAGCGAATTGGTTGCAAACTTGACAAAATGTGTATTGAACGTTATCTTCGGACTTGCGAACTAAACCATTTGTACAGCATTGACAGAAACATATTTTGTTATTGTTAAATTCAGTTCAAAACTTACAAATTCGAATAAATTAGGAGAAAAACCGACTAGAACAGTCACATGTCAAATTTCAAAATATCTACATGATCAGTTTATATCTTCAATAACTTCGTCAAAACAGAATCTAGGATGCTGAAACCTTAAACCGAGTGTGGCATATATATTGTATTATGGAATAGACATAGTAATGAACTTCAAAATAACAAAGAAACCCACTTGCCTGGCAAAAATTCGTTCGCCCGTTTGAAAAAATCACGCCGTGTTCGACATTTTGTCAAGTTTGCAACCAATTCGCTCGCTTGAACCAAGTGTGCAACCACTTCACGTCCTGCCCCTTGCTAATATACATAATGATATAGTTACTGGTTTGACTTTTAGTCCTACAAAAATGTTGTTTCTGAGATTATTGACAGATAAGGTATTTATTTGATAACCAAGTCCTAACATGGACCATTACCCTTTTGTGGGGCTTCAGGTCAGTTTAGATATTTTGAATGAAGGTCACTGATTCTAAAAATAGATTTTCTTAATTCTTCATGGGATAGCCATGTTTTTAAGCAACATCAGGGAGTTAAAATTTCAAATTGTGATAACTAATTAGAGCCAATTACTTTATTACTGAGGACTTGTTTGCTTAAACATGTAGGTTTGCAGAAATTTATATACACTGTATTGACTTATGGAAGCATCTGAATGAAATAAAGATTTTCGTAGTACTAAAATGCACAATTATAAGTCTTTTGTTAGTTTTGTATAAATTTATATACGCTAATCATTTCTTAAAGACAGAAAGAAACATAGTGATAATGCATGCTTAGTCTTTACATGTATAGTATATGTATATATAATCAGTTTTATGCTTGTTCGTAAAATCATCTATATGTGTGTTGACATTTTTAAAAAAAAAGAATTTCATGCACATCTCAGTTGATCTATACAATATTTAGCCTTTATCAGAATTAAGTTGATTTCTAATATAGGCTGAGAGTTCACTGGGGTCGGGCATCAGACATCAAAATTGGTCATCTCTGAAACTTCTGAATTAGGTTGCCATATTTCTTTCAGATTGGTGTATAGCATTTTTGTTTAGGTGCATGCACCTTTATGCAAATGTAATAAATAATTTGGCAAAATTAAGGGGATATACCTGAGCTAAAATTAGCTTATTTAAAAATAGAATCTGGTTGTCCTTTTGATAAGTTGTATTGAGATTGAATAAATTGTATGTCCACACTTTAATATGAATGATTTTACTGCTTTTACTTTATATATGTATGTATGTATATGTAGATATAATCACATGTGTATTGTGTATCATCAGCAAGCAAAAATTCCTCGTGTTGTTTGCATTGTTTGCATGTAGTAACAAAGGGAGGTTGCATTGATTATGATAAACAGAATTTAGATTTTCATTGTATTCAAATTTGATGGTTTTTATGTATGCAGATTTCATTATTAAACAGGTACCTGTGACAAAGAATTATTTCATGAAAAGGAGCTATTTTAAACAGCTTATTTAGAAATGATTGTTTCTCCTCAGTAAACCAGTATTTTAACATTGTTCTGAAAAATGAATGCCCCCAAATTCTTACCATTCTTACCTCCCTTAGAAAACTTCTTCTGTGCTGGCTACATCACATAGTCTTTTACTCTTCTCAAATAAGGTGTTGTGATTTTTTTGTATCCATACACAGCGGTCTCTACTTTGGGGAAAAGTGTGGTATTGTTGTGGAAGAGTTGAGTATGAGTACCAGACTATTTCCAAAAATTGTAAACTATGCAGTTAGACCCTCCATAATATCATGCTGATTTCATTTGTCTATAATATACCTGTTTGTTCCTTTGACAAATTGGTTGATATTTTCATAAAAGGTGTCAACATCTCCTTGTTATAAAGTAACTTTAAAGTGTTACCTTAATTTTAAATATTATGCATTGCATTTTGTTAATTTCTTGTGTTTTAAGTTTTAAATTAAGTTTTTTCGTATGTGTATTGAAAGTTTTTGTTTTTTTTGTTTTTTTTGTATTTGTATATATATTATCTAACCATATAATGCTATTGGTAAGTAATCCTTTTGCCGGTAAGTTGAAGTACTATTTCTAAAATTGTGATTCTTAATTACTCCTTAACAAAGAAATTGTGTTTACAATTAAATCAGTTGATTTCATCTGTGATATTTAAACTATAACATTTTTAGAGATCATTATGTCTACAATTACTGTTTTTCATATGTTTAAAAATGGTAAGACTGAAACATTTATTAATCAAGGCGATGTGCATAGCTGACAATTATCTGTGACATACAGGGCAATTCCAGCTTACTGTCACCATTCCCACACATGGTGGTTTGACTTTTTTCGGAAAAAAATGTCATCAAAAGCACAGTGTTAAACTGTTGGATTACTATGTTCTTGCTCTCACATAGAAATACCAGGTTATTTATACGATTCAGCACTTTTATCCTGCTATATAATATTGAACCGTAGCAATGCTGTTACTGTATATTTTGTATGTGCACCATGGTTTAATCACCTTAAAAATCATTCATTATTCAAACATTTATTGTCAGGTGAGCAATTTAGGGTCATTATGGCCCTCTTGTTTTGCACATATACTGCTTTTAATGAGTAAGAAAATGAGAGAAATCAATATTTAAATGAAGGAGAGCGCCAGGTGTACTGATGACTGTGATTATAAATGTGGAGAATGTTAGTTATGCAAGTCATGAAAAATAAATTATGTGCTGTAATAAGTAAATTAGTGACCATCACAACGCAAGGATAGAGTCAATATATATGATACAGCAAGATTTGCCAGTAAAAATTATATAGGAGTGGCTTTGCAGCTACTCAGAACCCACACAGTAATGTTTACAAAATAAAAATGAAGTAATAGTTAAAAATTATACCAGAATAAATGTGCAGAAACTTGAATAAGCTTTGATTTCTGCTCTGAGGAGCAAGGCATATGTACTTTATTTATATATAAAACTGTGGTGTAATTATCTTTTTCTGATATTTGTTTTCATAAACGCTTTAAAAAGTTCATGAGCGAGAGAATTACTTAAAAAGTCTGAACTTAAAATGAGCCTGCGCATCCACGCAGTCTGATCAGGATCCATGCTGTTCGCTTACAAACCATATAACAAGTAGAGAAACTGATAGCGAACAGCATGGATCCTGATCAGACTGCGCAGATGCGCAGGCTGGTCTGGATCCATGCTGGTTGCAAACCCATTATGTTGGTTTTGTCATGACACGGCTCAAATGCAATTTGCGACAGCATGCTATAGTGCAAGCAAATTAAAGTCTGCTAATTATTTAAGATAAAGTTCGGATGTTAATAAGTGGTCAGTAAGTAGTTAATATTTATGAATAAAAGTATAAGTAAGTAAAAAAAGTAGATAATCTGTATTTGTCCAAGAATTCACATTCTGAATTTCTCTACTTAATTGTAAATTTATAAGTCGGAAAATTGCTCACCAAGTTTTTAAATTGCAGAGAGATAAAACAAAACAAACAAAAATTGCAGCGAAAGGTTCCACACATTTTGAGAAAAAGGCTTAATATGCATAAAATATTTCCTATAAATGCATTCTGGTCTAAATGGTTACTTTTTAAATAGAACTAAATAGTTATTCTCTTGAAGTAATTTTGACAAGATTTCGCTTTTAAGTCTTTGCCTTCTGCTCGAAAATATTTTATACTATGATTTACATTCCCATCTTAATGGTATTACAAAGAGTTTATCCCCTTGCAACTCTGATGATCGAATTCGACGTCAAACATTCTTTTAATGCAATCTAGGTTTCAAGGCCGTTTCCAAATAAGCTTAGTCAGCATGTTTTACAGAAAATGAAAACATATCAAAATTATTTGATTTATATAAATGTTTGTATTAATAGAATCAATATTAAAATGTGTTGACATAATTTGTACTATGTTTGCTTTTGATTACCCTTTCTTTATATCGTTCATGAATATTCATAAGTAGTGATAAGATAGAAAACGATCAGTCTGTGGGGACATTTTGATCAATTAAACAAGCTCATTCAGGCAATATGAAATTACGTAAATGGTAATTTGTGGCACAGTGCCGTTTTTCGTTTTTTTCCAGTGCATATTTGGCTGGTGCCAAATTGGCTTTTTAGGAAACTTTTGATTAATCACAGTACACATCACATTGCTATCTTAGTAAAAAAAATATTCAGTATTAATGAGAAACTAAAATGTATTCCATTGAGAGGCACTTCCAGTCCCATCTTCATTTAAAGACAATTGACGCGCTCCGACAAGTTTTCTTCTTAAAATAGTTTCAACAGATTTTTTTCTCTTTATATCAAGTTTTGGGGATAATGATTGTGAATACAAGAGAATGTAATATTTCGCGATAATGAACCAATAAATTGATGGTTCATTTTCTTAATGCAATTTGAAGAAAAAAAAATGTAAAAAATTTAATTGAAATTTAAAGAAAGATAAATGATAGCATTTCCAGGAAATAGTTTGAGGTTTTGTTTTGGTTTTTATTTTGTTTATTTTTTTAAGAGAATAAGAAAAAGCAATACTCTACATTGCAGTTGAGAGAAATAGTCTTTAATTTTAAATGAACAAAAACACAAAAATGTTGTATATATAGTGTTTATTTTAAAAGAATAAAAATGGACTTATCACGATCACACTTCTATTCCTCTTTTATTATACATATTAAATAAATTCTTATGTGAGCAACTTTATAGGACCATCTTTGCCTTATTGCATAATTACATTAAGAAAAGTCAAAAGTACGAGGGGTGATCAAGAATTACGTAGACTGGCTCAATATCTCATTTATTTTTTGACATTAAACGTACATAAAATTTATATCACATTAAAGTACGTTTTATCAACAAACAACTTGCAATTTTGTTTTACAATATGTTTACATAATTCGGAATAACAAACCATGAAAATGTGTCACTATCGCGGTACCGGCCCACGTCGTAAAAACACTCTTGACCTCAGCGACGTCGCAGTGTCGTAAGTGTTTAAGGAAAAGCGTCAACTGGCACATGACATTCACTCTTTTTCAAAGTACGAGCCAGAACATGCAATGCAACGTTCATGCCTATTAGGCCACTGAGAGAAGAATATATTCCTGTAATACTCTGCTGGATACTGACATATTAGGGTGTTTGTCGCTGGTCCTTCAGCTGGCGTTTCAAATGTTTATACTTGATAAGCAAATATAAGGGTATTTTGTAAAATTATTTTATATGGGTCTGTTTCAAAGATATTGAACCAGTCTACGTAATTCTTGATCACCCCTCGTATTTAAACATTATTGAATGAAAATAATATGATAGCCTTAATTAACAGGAAAATGATATAAATCATGACTGTAAGAGGTATGATACATTTTAGGAGTTTTAACTGAATTAAGCTTTATGAAAATAAATTGCTACTTTTAAGATTTTAGAAATATAAAAAAATATTTGAAAAAAAAAAAAAATCGATGAAGATGTATGCAAAAACGTGAAATAATTAAAATTTGCAGATTTACATGATTTTAATATTTGTCTTCTTACTGACTTGGTGCCATTCTGTTGAATTAGTAGATTTAGATAACTGTTAAGTTAAAGGAGTGTAAGACTTTTGTTAATTTTCATATGAATTGATAAAATGTGGGTGTGTGAACACAATGTTGGATAGAACAGTTGTACCAGAGAACAATTAGCAGCTATAAAACTTGTCACACGAATCAGTAAGAAAATACATTATGTATATATTAGAGTAGTTATTGTCTCCTGTGATTCTATAGAGATCAAAATATCTTCCAAGCTGCTAACAAATTTTAACATGCTACTTGTTGAAATCGTGATACTTTTAAATGTGACTATCATGACTTTTGCATGTACATTTGAGCAGTGTCATGACAAAACCAACATAATGCGTTTGCGACCAGCATGGATCCAGAGCAGCCTGCACATCTGTGCAGTCTGATCAGGATCCATGCTGTTCCCTTACAAACCCTATAACAAGTAGAGAAACTGATAGCGAACAGCATGGTTCCTGATCAGACTGCGCGGATGCGCAGGCTTTTCTGGATCCATGCTGGTCGCAAACCCATTATGTTGGTTTTGTCGTGACGCGGCTAATTTATTTATATTACAATATTGAATATAAACCTTTTTCTAATAATGTTTTTTTTCCTGTCATTTTTCATAGTTGCGGAAGCATCCGAAGTTTGTAGTGAAAGAAATGGAGTCAATGTATACAGATGAATTGAAAGCACAGATAAATTTGTTGATGGCCAACCTTGAAAGCCTGCCTGTTTCAAAGTCAGGAGGCTCGGACTCGAGACTTCAGATGCTCAAACGCTATCCCAGGTAAAAAATAGTTTTGTATTAATTAGCCCTTTACCACTCTGAAACCAGAAAACGATTAGCCTTTGCCACTGATAAAAAATCAAATCAGTCCGTACATCCAATAATCCTCCACCAACATTGTAACTGAAATGTTGCCATATGACCCTCTAAAAATGTCAGAGTGAGTTAAAACTAAACAGAAAAAATGGTTATTACAAGTAAAATAATATATATATATATATATACTGGACTTGTCCATCTTTCATTTTAGGATCTGAACGTAATCTGTTTTGGGGATTTAAAGTTAGTCAGTTAACCGTACAGAGCTTGGCCCTAAACTGGTGACAAACATTCGGCCAGCAGGTCCAACCTCCTCAAACTGAACTGACAAGGCCATTTATTAGAGGAGTCAATAATATATTGGTAACTAGTAGCAACTCCAGATTTACTTAAATGCACACAGAAACAGACAAAACAAACACAGAAATTACTAGCTTAATCATAAAATCAAAGGAAATCAGAGAAGCAATTATTGATCAATTTCTACCAATTATTAGTAATGGTAATGTATCTGAAAGATCTAGATTACATTTGGAGAATTGGTCGGCATATCTTAATATACTGGAATAATCGGAATGGGCAAGCGGAACTTATTTCACTCTGACATTATATGGACAAAGATATTGGTGTTCAGCTGAACACATTAAATCCAGATGGTTGAAAGTGTGAGTTTTACATTAGAGCAATGCTCTGGTGGAGAATTTCATATAGGGACCATGACTCATCTTGATTGGTTTTGAAGTTTATGTTCGTTAACTTGCTAAATTTTAATGCAAGTAAGGGACAATAACCCATGTTTAAAGCTTGCATTATGTAGTAATGTGCTGGCACTGATAAGGACTTTTAGTGTGCTAACAGTAATCATGAGTTGCCTTTGCTTAGTACCATTACAGGGCTGCACATGAAGACTGTCTTTGGCATTTTGATTTTAAAAACCCTGAATTAAGGCCCCTGCTATGTGTGTGTGGGGGGGGGGGGGGGGGGCAGGCTGATGATGCATTGCAAGTATAACAAAAACAACTGTATTGACCATGCAGTTTAAGTTCAGGGAGGAACAAATTGTGAAAACTGCTCATTTTTTTTCCCAAACCATTTATCCCCCAAACTGCCTCTGGTACATTGGGGGGATGGAGAAGAAAGTGAGGGGTGACATTTGAGTAGTGAATTTATGAAACAACAAGGCCAACAAGATCATATGGCTGTCTTACAAGGTATTAGGAATTATAACACCCTTATGCTAATTAGTAAGATAAAATTGTGTTATAGTATAGGAATTTTAGAGGACATAATATAAGTAGTATAATGTTACAAATAGAAACATCTGTTTCACCTGACAATATATTGACTGAACAAAATGACTGTTACATACAGGCTGCTGTCATGAATGTTTGAGTATAGACACAGATTGTTTAGAAAGATATATTAAACCTGCTGAATTTATTTAATGGATTTGTCCGGGTTTGAATATGGAAGGGTCCATTTAAAGTTTAAGAGATTTCAGTATCAAAATACAATATTTAGTAGACAACAGTATACAGCTGGGTCAGACTGCTAGTAAGTGACGTAAGTGCTTGATGGTTACAGTACAGAGCCTTGTCAGATTGCACAAAAAGTTCAGGTTGGCCTGACTGTAACAGTTTCTTAAGTAAATCTCAAGTTTGAAACCTAGATATATCAAATTTGAGACTTTGATAATAGAAAACAGTAGACATCAGTATGTGTTGTTTAAAATAATTTGTTCTAAATGCACACAATATTTTATTTGAAGATTATACACCTATTTTTACTGGGGAAAAAAATAACTGGTTAACAATGTTGTGTGTAAGTTGTACAGACAATGATGGAAATTAGCACACTTAGACTGGCCAGGAAAATAAAACAAACATGATAGTAATTCTTTGTTTGTATAGAACTCCTAAACATGCTTGAAACAGCTGTGTCTTCTTCTTAAATCAGATTTTCTTATTTGTATAGGTCTAAGAGGTTGTTATCAACAACAGAGTTTTAGCTTCTTTAGTGTTATTTTATGCTCTTCATGAACCTTGAGTGTCCAGTAGTGGTATTAATATATAGTGTATGTGAGGACAGTAAGCTTGATAGGGTCAAGGTCACTGCATCCAAAAATAGATTTTTTTTTCTACTTTTCCTTATAGAGTGAGCCTTCTTTTTGGTATGTAGCAGACATTTGGGGGGTTAATCTTAGCCTGAATGAGTATAACAGCACTGCAGGTTTAGAGGATAGAAATAGATTTCTTTTAATTTTCTTCTATTGACTAGGATGTTGATTAGGTCAAGGTCATTTGGGCTTAGTATTTAAAAATTGCTCAATGTTTGCTGGTGTTTATTAGCTGTGTCAAAGTGATGTCAGCTAGGTACCATACACCAGTGTTACTTGAATTTTATTATCAACTCTATTTTCTTTAAAATAATTTCCAGAAAAATGCCACTGTAAATAGAACTTCAGTTGAGCAATCTTAACTGTATGGTATCCGGTTAGAATCTATAGATATCAGGCAGTATGCAGGTTGGTCGTGCACTACACTGGTTACATGGGCTTTTTGTAAAAGCCACTCTGCCCAAATAGTTTTAATGAAGATTGAAGAGTGACAAGGGCTTGTTTTGTTTATTTTTCTCATTTGTAGAGCAAAAAGAGTAAACTACAAAAAAATGTCTATTATTTTTTTCAAATGAAAGTTTTGTCATCTGTATGGTCTTTAATTATTAATATCTCCTGTCAATGTTGCCTTAATATATCATGTGTGACACGTTCGTTTTTACTGATGTGCATTAAATTTTGTCTCTGTTTCTAGGTATTTTTTGTTTTGGAATTTTCATTCATCATGTAGAATCTCATTAATTTATTAATTAATTACACAATTTAAATAAAGAAATAGTGATTATAGAGATAATGAGTGAAGGATTATTTACAGTCTTTTGGAAACATTCATCTAAGTCTCTATATAATACAGTGATTAATGATATTTTATGTATTGGGGGGAAAAATAATTTAATGTTTTTAATTTGATTTAACTCTTAACCAGTGCTGTAAGTGAAAGTTATATGCCTGTGTCATTCTTTGCTTATCTTTTCAGTCTGAAAAAAAACTATACTGTAAAAAGCTTTATTTTTCAATGTTGATTTTAAAAAAGGTCATATTATGGGAATACCCATGGGCAACTGGCTGGTGTGTGGCCTGCAGTTTAGTCCGGAGCAAACATTCTACTTGCTTGGAGGGTTTTTAGCATCACTTAATATAGACATTTATCAAATTGATACATAGTATCACACACATCAACCAGGTCAAAGTTCAAGGTCACACTTAGTGGCCAGAGGGAAAGGCTTTTTTTTTTCAAGCAAAACATTTACATGCATTAAGGAATTAATATTACTCGGCACAATGTGAGGCAAAGTGTTTCACGCAAAATTCAAATCACCATTGCAAAGGTCAAGGATAAAAGAATAATTTTAATATGTTTTTTTATTGACCTGATTTGATGATTGGGAGCAGAGAGATTCTATCACAATTGCTCACCATTTTCATTTACTGTGTTTTATTTAGCATAATAGGGGATGGGGTGAGGGGTGAGAGAGAAAGAATTATCCTCCCACTACCCCATCTTTACTGTAATTTAGAAATTAATTATGAGGAACCCCTTTTTCAGTTGCCACCCTTAAATGTTGTGATTCAGCTGAAAAACTATTGTGTTAGTTCCTGAATATTTTTTTTTTTGCAGAATCAGTGTTACCTTTTAAATAAAGGTTTACTGCCATCATGACTGAAACATTGTATAAAATCCCAAACACTCAAAATTCATGAAATAATCTAAATCAGACTTTATTTTAGGCATGATAAATTGTTCAAGGATAAATTATCAAATTTACTATTAGATAATTTGTGTAAATACAATAAAGGAATTATCGATGGCTTTAAAGGATTATTTACATTATTAATCGTGCATCTTTAGATAGAACCCTATTCTTTCATTTGTCATAATAAATTTGAAGATTCTGCTTGCATGAGAAAGTTAATCAATGTGTGTAATTGATTGCGTTTAAGCCCGTTTTTCATTAAATTGAATTGACAAACCGTCTAAACTAATTCTTTTGGGCACATTTATTCAAATTGATTTTAATGTTCATTAGAAGTAAATTTCCCAGTGGTTTCAGTTTATTAGATTGGTTTAGTAGATCTTGGAATTACTAGTTCTGTATTAATGCCGTAGCATACAGATCTTAATTTGTTATGACAAAAGCTGCTTAAGGTGATAAATTAATTTTTCCACTGTGTCTAACTGGTAATTCTTATAGCAGTTTGTCCACCATGTCTAACTGGTAATACATAAAATTGTATAGAAAAAAATAGTAATATTCCATGGTAACATATTTGTGTATTTGGAAGATAGGACAAGGGTTACAGCTGAGAACTGCTGAACCCTTATACCAGTTTTGTCAATTATATTAAATAGAATATTGACCTTTTTCAGCAAGGGAGATAAATATTGTAAAAATTGGGAACTATCTATTATAAGAGCATGTTATGAACAGATGTGCTTGTAGAGCTATATTTATTCAAGCAAGGCTCCATTACTTACACTTTGCTCAGACCAACTTCCAAAATCTTTTGTTGTTGATTTCCATAAAATTGAAATGAATCTGTTTTTCAGTATATCAGAAAATTTCATTTTAAATGGAGAATGATGTATCGGATGAAATGTAAATTGTTCCAGCCCATATTTATCTTATCTACTGTATAAATACATATTGATTTTGTATCGAATGCTTTGGACAGAGTGTATAGATATAGGAAAGAAAGAAAATAAAAGCCTCTGAAACATCAGGAGAGTACCTTGCTCTTTAACCTTTATTGGGAGCACCCCAGACAATTAATTGATTAATCTGTGAAAATCGTGGCAAAAATAGAAACTGCTGCAATGGTTGATAGGGAATTGATTACATTGCTG